GAAAGCTATATGAGTCGCTTTTCTTGGAGCACACAAGAAATGAAGTTGATGCCATTGTTGGAATCTCTATAAGAATAAAGTTCTGAACTGGAACTAAAAATAAAATTCATTAGAACATTGGCAACCAATCAGAAGCGCCCTAGCTGCGCATGCATGAAGAGACATTTCTTCATGGGGTTTCATCTGTTGACCATGAGGTTGTGTACTATGTATCTGATTCATTTGCAATGAATTGATTTTGCTTGAAATTTAGTTATTCGTCTGCGGAAACGGTTCAAATAATTAAGAAGGTATGAGGGAAGCATTCAATGAGATATGCTCGAAAATTCTTTTTCGTATTAATGTTTTAAATGTGGCCAGGAATCCTTTGAAAATGATTCACATTCTGGATGGTTTCCAAAAAGTATCGTATTTTCTTTTGCATGATACGAGGCATTTTGAATGAAAATTATAGGCAAAAAAATTATATATAGAAAATCAAAATAAAAAAATCATATTATAGACGTTTTCAAAAATTCTTGCTCACCTTAAAAACCTCAAATATGAAGCAGCAAGCTTGTAAATAGCGCAATCTATATATAAAATTATGTGACTTCCGTTAGTCTGTCCGTCACACTCCCCAAAATAGCCATACATTGCCCGATGGAAAACAGTTTTTTGTGAGAAATGCAAACAGTTAAGGGTACAGTTGGTTTTACGAGGGTGTGTAGCTTAGTTCAATAAATCTTCATTAATTTCTTGGGAAATATTAAAAGGTTTATTATTTAACATACAAAATACTCCCATTTTAAAAAACAATTTAATGATTATAATAATGAATTCAGTTATGTTCCATGCGTGATACACGCTTAGGCGATCACGTATTCGATACATGTGTGACGAGGCAAATTTCTTTTTACCATTTCTTTCTGCGATAGACAAGTTGTCATCCAAGGCTGTAGACCCCTATTTACCCATACCTGGAGGGGGTGGGGAGAAGAAGAGAATGTATCAGATTCGACTGGAATTTGAAGTCGGCTCTCCGATTCCTCAATCCGAGCCGCTATCCATTACTCCACTGTGCCTCCTCAAATACTTGCTTAATAAAAATGCAATATTGTTTTTTTGGATATCTTTTCTTTAAATTTTTATATACAAGAATCCAGTTTCCACTTCGCCCTGCAGTTATTAGAACTATAAACAAATCACAAGGCCAAACGCATCAAAAATTTGAAATTTGGCTCCAGAAAGAAATATTTACGCATGGCCAGTTGTATATTGCATGCTCAAGAGTAAGAAATCCCAAGAATTTATTCTTCGCTGTTAAAAGGGAAAAAAAGACATTTTTAAAAATCTTGTTTACCATGAAGTCCTATGAAAGTAAATTAAATTAAAAAATTGTTAACGAAGTATGACTTTTGTAAATGTATTTTTTCCAAACAAATCAGCTTATTCAAATTTCATCGTTTGGTTTGCTAAATTGAACGAAACGTAGAGTTTGTAAATCTCGACAAACTGTAGTAATAACTTCAACAATACTAAATATTGTAAGGATTTCAACACGTGTTGCAAAAGAATTTTCGTAGATAATAAAACACAAAATAGGCAAAGTGATGATAACAAATGTTTACAAAATGTATTCGATGTTATCTGCTAGATCAGACAAAAATGGATTATAACTGCCCAGTCCTCGCTTGCCATTTTGATACAGTACAAAAGCATTTATACGTCCTTGTGGGTGATAAGACATTTTCCACCCTAAAAACCCATTCTATTGCGAGCCTCTCGCTGCTCTATCGCTACTCCCGTGGCATGTGTTCTTACGTGCCACACCCCTTATTCAAATACCCATGACCTTTACAACTGGGACCCGCCTTGCCACATACATAAGGGTGAATCATCCCCATTGCCTTCGTATTTCTATACAAAGAAGTAAGTTCCATTCGGACCGTTTCATTCCAAGAACTGTTACTTTGTGGAACGGACTCCCAAGAGGATGCTTCTTCGATCGATAAAACCTTAACATCTTCGAGTCTAGGGTCAACTGTTATATATCCTACATATCCTCATAATCTGAACTTGCCCTTTCTTACGGTCATATAATTAAAACTCTACTTTGAGTGGCTCTTGTATTGGGTGAATGCTAGCATAAAAAGTACCTGTTTTTAGCTTCAGAATGACTGGGTTGAATTATACTCAAGTCGTTTTATACACAAGAAAATAGGATATGTAAATTGTATGCATATTATAAACAAGAAAATACGGTAATTCACCTGAAAATGTTTAATGTATGCCAACTGCCAACCACTATCACCTTCTATCGGCCCAGTGCCCTTTGGTGACAAAAGTATTCTGGATAAGTGGATCATCCATAGCCGTTGAAATCTATCGTGTTTTTGTTTTACAGATATAATATCTAGTTTCGTGTCAAACCAACTTTGTACAACGTCAGACACTTGAGTTTTGAATTCAGAGTTTCCCTTCTCCTAGACAAGTTGTCTTACTATTTTGTCCATAATTGGTAGAAGAAGAGATGGATTTGTAGCGAATGGATGCCACAGGTTAGAAATATTGATCCTCAGTTTGTTGCAAGAGGTGCTACTTCGTAACCGATGAGTTGGAAAATTCTGAACAACATTCTGGAAAACCGGATCACTAAAATCTGATTTACCAGACAACCTCAAGCGGAGATTCTTACGAGCCACTGTAGAGGCGGTGTTAATGTATGGTGCTACTGCCTGGACATTAAAATACTAGAGTCGAAGCTTGATGGAACCTACACTCAGATGCTGAGAGCTATAATTAACAACTTTTGGAGACAAAATCCAACTAAATCACAGCTCTAGGGACCCATCTCTGATATTTTTACAATCTTATGCTAACGCAGAAAGAGTTTTGCAGGACATTGTGGGCAAGGAAAACAATAATTTGCAAGTGATCCACTGCTCTTCATAGCTATGGGGCATGATGGACCGATTGCCCAGCAACCATCTACATTGACTAGTTTGTTATGACACAGAATACGTCCCTAATGACCTTGATACAGACCCGTGATGGTTGGCGTAATAGACTTATGAATGTCCGAGCTTTAGCTCGACGGAATAATAATTATAATTGCTGAAATCTATCGTGTGTTTTATGTTATAATTATAATCTCTGCTCACCGTGCCAAAACAGCTTTGTATAACTTCAGTTTTAAATTGATTGTTGTTGTTGTTCTAGATTGGTTGAAACCATGGCTAGAGAGTTTCGACTACTCTGCTATTTAACTTATAGTTGGCGGAGGGAGGAGATGAAATGGTTTTATACTTTTACAAGGTGAAAATGATTGTAACGATCTCGACTCGAATTCGAACCCTTGGCTCACCGATTGCCTTTCCGAGTTGCGAACTGCAATCAAACGGAACTGGCGAAGAACTGCGAAAAATAGAATATCTGAAGATCCCACGGACTGTCCATAAAGCAACCAGCCATTTTGATCACCTCGATTGCGCGTTGTTCACGTCTTGTATATATAAAAAAAAAGCAATACATCACTCAGGTTTCTCTCCTCCCCCGAATACGGTGCATATTTACCTCTCCGCGACCTCTGCCGTTGTAAAAGAGTAATATCCAGATGGTGGACGAGATTGAGGAGAACGCGACTTGTTCGCTGAAAGTCGACCGCCCCCACCCCCGCCAAAAAAAAAAAAGCATTTTAAGACTGTTTTGAAAACCGGAAGTGAAGCTGGAAGTAATTTGTTAAGTCTAATAGGAAGCACGGTAGTGTAATGGATTGAGGAATTGGGAAGCCAAGTTCGAATTCCACTTGGGTTCATTACATTTACTTACGTTAGCACGTAAGTGAATGCAATGAAGCAATTCGAACTCGGTTCTCCGATTCCTCAATACGAGCCACAATCCATTAGAAAAATGTATGAATCCATCTCTTCTCCAAGAAGATATGGGTAAATAGCAGCACAGACAGGGTTATATAGCCATAAGTAGCAGCCGGTTTAGGAGACGGAAATCTCTGTATTCAAAACTGTATGTAGCCCTGGCGAAGCATATATTATGCAGCTAAGAAAAGGATTGTTTGCACTAAGACGATGATCCCGACTTCGGTCGACTTCTTTTTTTTAAAAAAAAGGTGTAATTTCAAGTGGACTAAAGTGACATTGGCGTAAAGTGTATATTTTTCTGTTAATTTTAAATGGTTGACTCATTTCCAGACAGAACTTCGAAACTTCTGGAAGCGCCGTGAAAGAAAGAAAAATGTGAGAGAAAAGGATAACATTTTTAACAGAGGAAGCTTCGTAAAGGAAGAACGTGAAAAAAGGGGGAAATAACTCAGGATATTATAATGAAAGGAAAACGTACAGAGTATAAGGAGGGATAAGCAATTAAATCATGAGAAAAAAGAGAGAGAAAGCGTGAGAGAAAGAGAGAGAAATAGAAAGTTGTTAAAGGGAAGGGATTTTTTTTACAGTATGGTCCACCCTTTACAAGACCTGGGAGCCAATCGAGGCAGAGGTTTATGTTAGGAGGCACTTTTGTCCATAGGAGAACATAACGATTGACCCTAGACTTGGACAGATTGTAGCAATCGGGGAAACATCCTCTTGGGAGTCGGTTCCACAGGACAGTGGTTCCCGGGAAGAAGCTGTTTGAGTGGAACTTCTCACCGATGGAATATGGAGGGAATGTGGATGTTTTGACACTATGTAAGTGGCATGGCGTGTCCTTGCTGTGAACGTTTGAATTGGCGGGACCAGAGAATAGAGTTAATCCGAGCACTCTCCGTGGGAGTAGCGGTAGTACAGTAAAGGGCTTTCCCCATCCCGCCTGTGGGTGTGAGTTTGTAGGGTGGAAAATAATTCGTCATACACAAGGGCTCGGCGACGAAAAAGAGAAAAGTGGAACTGAATGCGATGAGGAAGATGAAGGAGAGAACAAAAGAAAGGAAAAGCAAAAAGGCAGAAAGAAGGAAAAGATGTAACAGAGAAAAAAAAGAAAGCGTTGAAGGAGGGATACATCAAAAATTAGAGAGAGGAAAAAGCGAGTGAGAAGGAAAGAGAGAGAGAGAGAGAGAGAGAGAGAGAGAGCATCTGAAAGAAGAGAGGAAGTGCGTGAGAGAAAAGAGAGTGGGAGATGCGAGGTGAAAAATAGAAATGGTGATAATTTTGAGAAGAGAAAAAGGATGTGAAAAGTAAAAAAATAGAAAAAAGAAGTAAAGAAAGCTTATAGAGACAAGAGGAGTTGGAAAAAAGAGAGAGAGAGAGACAGAAATGTTCTAAAGGTTGAAGAGGTGATAGCGCCAAACATGGAAGTGAGGTTGAAAGGGTTAAAAAGACTAGCAGACTCGGAGAGAAAAAATATCAGGTAGTTAAATGAAACACCCCAAAGATAGACAAATCCTGACCGATGAAAAGGGGCATACAAAAATATGAGAGAGAAATGCAGTGAATGAAATAATAAAAAGAAAGAAAGAAAAAATGATGTGGAAAGCTTACTGGGAAATTTGAGACGAAGGGAGAGAAGTTTATGCTGAAGGTAGAAGGGTAGGGAAAGTAAAGAGGAGATTTGAAGAGTAAGGAGGAGATAGTGGAGAGTAACGAGGAGGTGGTGGAGAGTAAGGAGATGTGGAGAGTAAGGTAGAGATGTGGAGAGTAAGAAAGTGATGGGTAGAGTAAGGCGGAGATGGTGGAGAGTAACGAGGAGGTGGTGGAGAGTAAGGAGACGTGGAGAGTAAGTTAGAGATGTGGAGAGTAAGAAAGTGATGGGTAGAGTAAGGAGGAGATGGTGGAGAGTAAGAGGAGACTGGGAATAACAAACAAGAAAAAGTTGTTTTTTTTTGTTTGTTGTTTTCGTTTTGTGAAGTTGTGTTTATAACTTTAAAAAAATGAGAAAAACCTCGTCTAAAAGTGCAAAGTCGCTTGGAAAATATCATTATTACATGTACGCAAAGTAAGATAGAAACACACACACGCACACGCATGCACACACATAAGAACGGCGTACCACGTGAATAATACACATAACTGCTATATTTTCCTTTCATTCCGTGTTTTCGAGGTTAGCTTTTGTGACACACCACGTCCACCACGCTGAATATATATATATATATATATATATATATATATATATATATATATATATATATATATTTCATCTCTTGGTGAGTTGAGCAGTAGTGGTCAGTCATTGTACACCGGAAATTTATTAAGAAAATTATATATATATATGTGTGTGTGTGTGTGTGTGTGTGTGTGTATGTGCATTTAGGTAACATATCTTCATTCAAACATTTCATTGAATAATATAGATATTCTGCGTCTACTTATTTTTATACTGATCCTTTCTAGTTCTGTAATTAGTCTTATGATATTAAGATGAAATTTATTAAGGAAGGCGCTGTAGTTTCTGCTAAGTCAAGTAATAGTTTCGATATTTTCCAAGTTCGTCTTCAGCATAATTGCAATATAAACCGCACTTAGGCTCTGTGGGTGCTGAACAAACATATGTGCCTGGGTAAGTGTCTGTGACAGCGGTTGACTAGCCGTCCAAGCATACGGGTGTGCGACGGAGAACAAAGACCTCGACGGATAAATTGTCGTCTGAATTACGTAAAAATGAAAATAACATCGACATCTGAATTTAATAGATACATTTACACAAAAATATTTTGAAATACTTAAACTTATTTAATAAAATCGCAACTGGCTTCAGCCATGGCATCCAGACGCCTTCGGAATCTCCCGTACCTCTTCTGGACGATCTCCCTGTTTAAGTTGCTGCCATAATCCTTGCCTTCAGTTCATCTTAGGTGTTACAATGACTTTTGTTGGTCTCTCTCTAACTCAACTACTTCCCACATATTATTAATGGCTTCTCGTGCTTGTCTAGTATGGTGTAGAGTCCTGTTGCCAGACATAGGGTTTTCTAGCAACCACCCTCTTGACCAAAAGAAGCATTATATTCTCAAGGCACTTGTTTCTGTGTTGAGACTGAGGCCCTGTGAGAAGATGAATCGATACATGACGTCTCCATTACTAGCGATCACTCCAAACACCTTTGTAATCACCATTAGACTCATCCATCTCTTTCTGAATCCCCTGCACTGTCCTCAAATTGACACCCAAACACTCGGAATTTTTCATACTGAAGCTTCCGGCGCGAATGCCAAGCAGTACAGCATGCTGTTTGCAAATTTCTGGTAGTATAAATTGCGTCATGGTGCTCTTCTTTTCACACACGGTGTCCAACTGACCCTACTATACTGTGCAGTCGACAAAATACAAAGAACGCGCATGCATGAAATATTTAAATTGCAATAATTTACCTATCGCACCCTGCATATATATATATATATATATATATATATATATATATATTAGGAATATTACTGTGTGTGATATGAGATAACGATAAATATTTTTATAGGTCAAGAACAGTATTGTGGAAATTGTAAGACAAAATGGAAAAATTTTATTTGTGACGCATTTCACCAGTTAGGACTTCATCGGACTAGGTTTGTTGACGTATATTAAAAATCATAATATATATATTAGGAAAATTAATGACAACATGGGAAAAATTCTTCGTTTGTTTCGTTTCGCCCTTTAGGACATCATCGGACAAAAGTGAGGTTTACGTTTATGCAACTACCCATGCATCCGAAGGTGAGGGGCAGCTGAAATTTTTATTTATTTATTTATTTTCTTTTTTTAATAATATGTTCCACTTTGTCATTAATTTTCTTAACATTTTTCTGGCATATAAAATATTTATATAGTTTTCCCATGCATAATAATAATAATAATGATAATAATGGACTCTCCCGTCGGTTTCGACGTTTGAGAATCTGGTAACTAAACTAATTGATTCAGTTATGAATTTTATGCGATAATCTTAAGTGGCACGCAAGTGATTTGAAAAGGAGCCCGCATACGGTGTATGAGTGAGGATTGTGGCATGAGGTCACTGTTAGATTGGCTGACCTTTTAGATCTTGCCGTCTCTTCTTGAAGACGATTCAGACTAGCAGATTGAAAACTCCACTCTACCCGTTCCAAGGCTAAGCGCTCGAGGGTGTTATGAGGTATACTGATAATTGCTCTTCACTTGGTCTTTGTATCTAAGCCATAGTCTTTGTATCTAAGGCATCTGGTCGAAAGATTGGAAGTTCTGAAGACCATGGAACCACCTCTTAATTAATTAATTGATCTTATCTACCCGAACCCTGTTAGGGTCCCAGCTATGGAAAAATAGTGACCCCTTTCCGCCAAGCAAAAACAAAATACTATGAAAGTATTTACACTATTTATATTGTTCGGACTGATTTCCTCATCTTTGTTGCCATATTCACGACGTTTCGACGTTCGTACGCTCCGGCCTTCTTCAGGTGATTGGAATTTCGAATTGAACTCTTTATTTGTTCCACTGGTACATATTGTTCTATTTCCACGTGCCATGCCTCTTCGGAAAAAGAGTATAGTGTCAGTAGCGGAGACATCGTCAAACAACATGAAAACATGGGCTGGCTCCAGCATGAAATTATTAGTCACAATATCAAGAGAGAGAACGCTGATTTCCCACACGATCCGCCAACTGCAGATGCAGAGGCGACGTTATGATGATCACAATAGCAAGAGACAGAATGAAGTGTTCCCAAATTGTTCGCTGACAGCAGATTCAAAGAGGCCTTCATGATGATGATCACAATCACAAGAGGCAGAATGCAGTTATCCCACATGGTGCACCAAATGCAATTAACAGGCGCTACGTTATGATGATGGTGACAATCACAAGGGACAGGACGCAGTTATCCCACATGGTCCGCCAACTGCAGATGCAGACGCGACGTCAAGCTGCTTGAATGTATCATTTTCCTTTAATCGAAATACGGGAGAAACGAGGGTGATTTGACTCCGTTGAAATAGCTTTGCGTCTTAACTGTAAAAGGATCACCAAGAAGTGATTTGCCACTTTCAATATGGTATGGCGGCTGAAGATATGAGCTGGTGTAAATGGGATATAAATGAAGAACATAAATTACTAATAGCGATAGAATATTGATAGACTAGTGACGTTGGAATAAGGATGGAGAATAATTCCCCACCCACAAGGGCGCATAGTCGCTGTTGAAACAGTCCAGTTATGGCAACAATACTCTGTTCTTTGTTTGATTTTCAGGAGTGCATGAATTTTACCGGATTTTTCACGTCAAGAAACATTATTTACTTTATTTAAAATTGAACTATTGTCCTTATCCTTGTTTTTATCAGATGTATATTGATCTGTCTAACCTACAGGGAATTCTGAACTATTTAATTTTATTTAATCTACGGGGGTAAACTTTTCTCTTTTCAATGCTCATGTCTATGGCTTCAATTGATATATGCATGAAACGAAAGTGATTTGACTACGTTGAAGTAGCTCGGCGGTTCGTAGCTGTTCCCCTGCTCACGTCTAGGGATATCTCGTCTAATTTTTATTTTTAGTACTGTCCTGCTATTCTCTCCCGTTTCCAAGTAAACACTCACCGGTCCAGCGATTGAACTCACAGTTAATATGTCACCAAATTCAGAAATCAAAGCTTTAATCCCCTAGCCTAATTTCCTGTGGGATAATGCTTTGTGGTGAAGTTGGAGTCCTAAACCTAACCTGCTGCTGATTAGTGCTGCTGTTACTGACGTTGAAAACTTGCTGTCGTTCTTTCTTTATTAGCAGCTCCCACATTGTATTTATTTATATGTTCTGGTTGCCGCATCCCGACTGGTTGTAAGGAACCCGAACTTTTAGGTGGCGCTTAGAGGCCGCTCTGATCAACAGTCATATAATATCTGGGTATTTGCAGTCCCTTCATGATCTACCGGTGGACAACATAATGCGACAGTCTGCGTCGATTTCCAATCAGCTCATGTTGCCTTTGACGATTGGTAGCTACTATTATTCTTGGCCTTTTCCACCTTTAAACACTAAAACAAATAAATGAAATAAAACTAAACCAGCTTGCCAAGAAACGTCTCAACCTCTCAACCTTTCCTTATTGGTGACGTTCGTAACAATTTCTTCAGTATAGAATCATTTCTCTTGGAAAATTTTCCACGTGATGGCCTTGGTTTCTACGTTCGCGAGCATCTCCCATTTGCAAGGGAACTGTCTTTTGCCTCCGGATTGTTCATATATATGCTTCTTACTTTCACTAGTTGTTTTAACCTAGGGAAGGTTAATGAATAGAATAATCGCACGAAGGTTGGTAATGAACGATAATACTTAGGACAAGAACAACACGTATAAGATTCGCCAGTGGAGCGTAGAAAAAGTAGTCAACTCCTAGGACAAATGAATTCCACAACGAATCTCCAACTGCAGGATATCTACCAACCACCACACGGGGTACAAGGCCGAATTTAACGTGGGGTATCCGAGCCCGTAGGCTCGGTTAAATATTCCCCGTGTACCACGTATAAAACAGGGTTGGGTAGCTGTTTCCCGAGACGAGACTCTGCCCTTCGACATAGCATCGTCTGGGGATCATTGCTTTTCCTCTCATGACTGTTTCTTGTTAGAAAATCTGATAAGGCTTTCTCTCTACACTCGTCTGCACATAACTTTGCGTTGGTGTCTTCAATGTTCTTCATGTTAAGTGGGTTTAACACTAATGCTATTGACCTTGCTGGTATCCACATTCATACAACTAGTAGACTTCAACCCTGACAGACGCGTTTCTCTATTTGACATCTTCCGTAAATCATGTCGTGCTCTGTCCTCTTGGCAACTCTATAGATATTTTCGCTCTCCCATCAGGCAAGAACTATTAAGAAAATTTTACTGATTGAGACACATTTAGTAATTTCCTTTGTAATGTTGATATTTTAATCTTTCTGTTGAGAAATGTGCAATTGAAGTCTCTTCCTGGGTAAAAAGCCAACATCGAAGCTTTTGTTTCATCACGGAAATTCCAAGTGAAGCCACAATCTTCTCCTTATTTCTCTCCTGCTATAGCACACAGGATTCACTTTTTCCGGCTACACTTGACTTGAGCGACAAATCCGATTATAACAGACGTCTCTTTGTCACCGCATGTGATGAATGCAAGCGTGTCCACAAAGAGGTAAAGTCATTATTCGCTGATAGAATGAGATACCATATAGCTACTCACAAGTTTGGTTCTAGAGACACACGAAAGCCCTGCAATAGTGTATTGAACAAGATCAGATCCTCAGTTCCTTCTCACTTCAATCAATTTGAAGTGTTGCCATCTACTGCAAATAAAGCTGAGTGCTTTGCTCGGAAATTCTCTTCCAGGTCCACTCTCAATTCATCTGGGGTATATCTGTATCATTTTCCTCCCGGAACAGAGTCCTAACTGAGTGATATACACATAACTCTAGCCATTGTTTCTGCCATCATTTATAAACTAGATCCTCACAAGGCTTTTTGGATAAATAAATGCACTCCTGAACTGGCTCCTGTTCTCTCAAAACTTTACAATAAATGTCTCACTGCTTCTTGTTTTATAACCTGTTGGAAGTCCTCTTCTGTAGTTCTTGTCTTTAAGAACTGTAAGGAACCATCTCCTCGAATTATCGTTCTATAAGTCTGTTACCTCGTTTTGGCAACGTATTAGACGCTACAATCGACACAGAATTGATTAAGCATCTTACTCACACGACATCCTTTCGGATAAATAATAGCTTAGATTTCTCCGTGTCAATTTCTCATGTGTTAACCGCTCGGGCTCAGGGGTTTTGGTGTGTCTGGACGAATATTTGACCTAATCCAGTTGTTCCTAATCAATCGTGTAATGAAGATCGTGTTGACTGGACACACTTCTAGTTCATTTCTTATTAATCCAGGGATCCCTGGGAGTTCCATCCTCGGACCTATGCTACTTCTGATCGTCATCAACGACCTTCCCGATGTCATCAGTTACCAACTAGAAATCTATGTTGGTGACACAACTATTTACCCCTGTCTTAGTAGCAAGTCCGACAAATCCGACAAAGTAAAACTGGCAACGGCTTTCGAAAAGGATCTCCAATCAGTGGTTAACCGGGGCAAGGAATGTCTTGCAAATTTTAACGCCTCCAAAATTAAAACTTCTTTCATTTAATCAACACGGAGAACCTGTTCTGCGTGCCGGACGTTAAAATCCAGGAGAGCAAAACGTTGCACCTGCTTCAGCTCACGTTTTCCTCTGACATGAGGTGGTGGGATTATATTGACTCAGTTGCTAGATCAGGTGCTGAGAACCGGTTATATATCCCGAAATTCTTGAAAAAATCCAAAGGGTCTGTAAGGTAATCGATTCTGAGCAGACATCTCGACTTCAGCCTCTTTCTCATCGTCGTGATGTGGCTACTCTCCCTCTCTTTCTTCTACAAATGTCATTGCAATTGTTTCGATGAGCTCTTTTCCTTAGAGCCTCGACCACGTGCTACTAGATTCTCAATTAGGCCGCATCGTTTTATTGTTGAACTAGATGCAACCATCAGTTCTATTCTAATAGTTTCCTAGTGGCATTATCGCTTTGCTTGGCCTGAAATGATAAAAAAATGCCTACTAAAGAAGTGCTCATAATCTATACTTTGGTTCTTTCAGGCATCTTCCTCTTTCCTTCTCCAGTATTTTCCCTTTAATCCACAGGGGATTGATGGATACCCTTTTCCCTCCATACACGTGATGAAGGCCGGAGGGTACAATGGCCGAAATGTGATAACAACAAATAAGATGAGGATAATATTCCGAAAGTAAATAGTACAAATAATGATAAATCCTCATCACAGAAATTCAAGAATGTTGCAATCAAAAAATTATAATTACAGGACAAGATTTACAAAGGCAAATATTTTCAATGAAACCTTGAAATCATTTCTATTCGAATTTATGGTCCTCCGCCTCACCCCTCTCTCTCTCTCCCTCTCTCTGTCTATATATATATATATATATATATATATATATATATATATATATATATATATATATATGCAGAGTGCTATGAGTAAATTGTCGCCATTTTATATTTTCAATTTCGTGCATGTGCGTTGTTTTTTTTTATTTTGTCGACTGCACTGGATAGTAGGGCCAGTTGGGTACTGTCTGTGAGAAAAAGATCACCATGGCATAAATAACTCTGACAGAAATTTGGAAATGATATGCTGTACAGCTTGGCATGTGAATCTGAGAACATTGCAGAGGATTCGGAAAGAGTTGGATGAGTCTAATGGTGATTATGAAGGTGTTTGAAGTAGTGATGGCGAGGTTATGTCTCCATCATCTTCCCACAGATCCCCAGACTCAACACGTAGGCCTACATGAAGTGCCTTGAGGTAGCAGTTCTGTCTTGGGTCAAGAGGGTGGCTGCTAGAAGACCTCATGCTTTTCAACAGGACTCTGCATCATACCACAAAAACCGGAGAACCCAGTCATGACTGTCAGACAATTTCTGCGACCACATTACTCTTTATATCTCGCGACCTAACTCTCCAGGTTGCAATCCCTTTGATTATTGTGTTGGTGGGGCACAGTTGAAGGAGAGACCAAGAAAACTCCATTTAGCACCAAAGATGAACTGAAGACAAAGATTATGGCAGCATTTACCAACTTAAACAATAAGAAAATGCAGAAGAGTTGTAGAATTACTTACCGAAGAACGATGGGTTTACGCAACAAGCAACTTTTTGAAAGTCAGTTCTGACGTACGTGGAATATTTTTTGTAGTGCATTGTTATGGCATTTAACTTCAATGTCTCAACATTTGATTTTTTGCTTGACTTTGGGGCCCAGAAATTCACTCCGCCAGAAATTTGGAAACGGCATACTGTACTGCTTGGGATTCACGCCAGAAGTTCCAATACGAACATTTCAGAGTGTTTGGGTGTCAATCTGAGGACATTGCAGAGGATTTGGAAAGGGTTTAATGGTGATTACAAAGGTACAGCAGCTCGGAAAACTCACTCTGATCGTTCTAGTAAACAAATGACTCCCGAATTTGTTAGTAAGGGCCTCAGACTCAACACGGTGGCCTACATCAAGAGCCTTGACGAAGTAGTGCTACCCTGGATCAAGACCACCACCACATGACCACCTTGACCACATTCTATTAGGCAGAGACGATCTAGGTATCAGCACGCGGGAAATGGTATTGTTTTAGTGTGAGGAAGACACCTCCAAAGTTTGTAAAAGTATTTTTAAAACACTCTATATATATTAGTTCATGGTAGAAGATAGCATAAACGATTCGGGTTGAGTAAGTAGAATTGATAAACTCATTAGAAGTTCCTGTTTAGTTTGTATCGTCTATTTTTGCATTAATATTCTTTGGAAAGGCATTAATCCGTCTCTTCACTCTCCCAGCTATAGGTTAAATAACTAGAAAGATTAAGCTCTCGAGTCTTGGCTGACAGTAAGAAGAAAAATCATAATGCGAAACCGTGCAGAAGGAAGAAGAAAATCGAGTTATGGTCACCAACAAAAGGAATCTTTAGGTGGTCATGTTTGCTTTCTTTGTGGAGGGACATGGTATTATAAAAGGTTTGACGTTGTAGATTTATTTGAAATGGAATGATGTATGATGACATGTCTCTAATTTGTATTTAGGTACATTGAATTTATTTTCAATTTTTCTAGTTGAATTGTTCACCTCTATTGCATATGATCCATCACTGTACATAATTAAGTTACAATGACATATGTATTTTATCTGAATACTAACTTATAAAATTGATGTCGGAGAGTGGGAGCCCCGTATCATAGATTCGGGCGTGGGGGGGGGGGGTGTATCATTTGTTCGGGGCGGCACGAGGCCCTCGTTGATAGATAATATTGAAGTACATGACTAAACAAATAGATATGAATAGAGATAAGCAGGTAGCGCCATAGATAGATAAAAATACGTAAAGGATGGTATAACAAGAGAGACAGATACATAAGAACAGTGATAGATAGATAGATAGATAGATAGATAGATAGATAGATAAAAATGCGTAAATGGTGGGATTACAAGAGAGACAGATATATATAAATAGTGATAGATAGATAGATAGATAGATAGATAGATAAAAATGCGTAAATGGTGGGATTACAAGAGAGACAGATATATATAAATAGTAATAGATAGATAGATAGATAGATAGATAGATAGATAGATAGATAAAAATGCTTAAATGGTGGGATTACAAGAGACAGATATATATAAATAGTGATAGATAGATAGATAGATAGATAGATAGATAGATAGATAGATAGATAGATAAAAATGCGTAAATGGTGGGATTACAAGGGAGACAGATATATATAAATAGTGATAGATAATATTGAAGATAGATAGATAGATAGATAGATAGATAGATAGATAGATAGATAGATAAAAATGCGTAAATGGTGGGATAACAAGAGTGACAGATATATATAGTGATAGATAGATAATATTGAAGATAGATAGAAAAAAGAAAAGGAAAACTTAGCTGACGCCTTTCATCCTCTGTGGGACTTTTTATCAAGGCAAATGATGCCCTTGGTCGCACAGAGGACGAAACGCGTCGGCTAAGGTAATTTTTTTTTGTCTTTATTCATATTGTTTTTTTTACATGTATACTCTATATGAAATGTTTGCAAATAGACAGATAGATGCTAAGACAACAGAAAAATTAACCCTCGAATTGATCCTCTATGTATCTATATGTGTAAGTAAAGCTTGTTCGGAATTTTATTTGAGGTTAAATTTATCCCACAGGATAAGAGTAACTCCGAAAAGCATGTTGTAAATAACTTTCTTTTTCCTTTAGTCTACTCCTCCCTCATTTTTAGACGTCTTTCGTTTCAATTTATTTGGGCTTCCCTACACATCAGGGTCCCAAAGAAAATGCGGTTAATTTAGGTCATGTGTGTGAGGTGGGGCACTGGTAAGTAGAACAGATAGATGGCGTGGGTAGAGATGAAACTGGTGTCCAATTCGCTGGGAATGCCAATTTCTTTGTTCAATTCTATTTATTCATCTGCTTCTATCTATCTATCTATCTATCTATCTATCTATCTATCTATCTATCTATCTATCCCACGTCTGTTCATATTTCTCTCCGTCTGCTCATATCTGTCTGTCTGTCAAAGCTAATTTTCTCAATTTACAGCACTGTTTTACCGTCACTCAATAATTCTATTATATATATATATATATATATATATATATATATATATATATATAATATCTATATATATATATATATATATATATATATATATATATATAATATTTTTAAAACTCAAAACTCATGACAATCGCTTTATAACTTAAATCTAAAAATACACCTGTTTATATATATATATATATATATATATATATATATATATATTACAGGAAATAATTCATGGTAATTATTCTTATGAACTGTGCTCTATGGTACTCAGCCTTTATGAATTTAGTACTAGATTGGCGGCGAGGTTTCGTCCTTTAGCAGCCGAAATATCTAGATGTCACCGTAAGTTCTATGCTAATAGTTTCTTCTATCGCACTTCTCGGTTGTGGAACTCTCTTCCGGCTTCTTGCTTCCCAATCAACTTTGATCTCCAAAAATTTAATTACGATGTCAATCGTTATCTTCTGCCTTTTTAATTCCCGTTATACATTATTGTTCTCTCTCCTTCGTAGTGTTTTTTTCTCTAACACCCTTTCCGTCTTCGCGACTTTATTGCTTTGCTTGGAGTGAATGATTAATACACACACACACACACACACACAAACACACACACACACACACACACACACACACACACACATATATATATATATATATATATATATATATATATATTTATACCTTCACAGAAACGCGATAACGCGATACCTGATGTTTAAAATGAATTTCTTCTTCGTTGAAGCTTTTATGTTAGCTTTAATTTCAAGCTAATAGATTAAACTTAATATTTTCAATAAGCAAAAACCTTTGATGCAGTTGAAAACTAATCTAAATTGCTTGGAAGAAGTTTTATTAATCACTAAAAGTCGTTGAATTTGACCATTTTAACCATCTGTCCGCACAATTCTCTTTATTAAAAAAAAGTTTAAAACATGAAATACATTTTTCTGAAACTTTATTTGAGAAATATTAGCTGATTTAAAGTTTAATTAATCTGATTTGAAACGCATAGTACTTAGTTTTAGTATAAATATCACAGAAATGTATTTTTTAACAAAGCAGTAGGTATTTTGATTAGTTGTTGACAGATTAATTGATAGATTGACATCCGGAAGTTTATCTCATTTTTTCTACTGGGGACATATCTGTAAAATTTCTAAACGAATATAATCTGAGCGCTATTTTTTATATAATTTTTAACTATCCAGTAATCTTAAAAAGTTAGGGAAACGTTGACTGTAATCTAATGTTTATTGAATTTTACATACTTTCGCTTAAATTTACTATAATTATAGTTCATATTTCCTGATACTGTCATGTATGGACATCCGTATTTACAAAAAATTTGCACGTTTATACACACACAAAAATATTCAAAATCCTTTTAAAAATATTAGTGGTCACTGAAATGTAGTAAGCTTTTTAAATTAAATAAGTGGTGGATAACAAATCTTAAAAAAATGTTTTTACTGATAATTTTTTAAAAGAGAAACATTTGAAAAATAATTTAATTCATTAGTGAATAAATTCCGAAAGTTGCATTAAAATCCAACATTTATTTGATTTTTGCAAGAATTTCCAAATCAATGTGTTTTTACCGCGAAAAGGGGCTGAAAATATCCTGTACTAATCTTTGGTCCCGCCCGTTGAAGCAGGAAAACAAAATACTTAACTAAAATTTCGAACGTTCTCAAAAAATCCAAAACCGTAATTTTATAATCAAAAAATCCTTTGTTCTTTCCTTCTAATAATAGCATAAAGATTTTGACGATAACACTTTGTTTTTATAAAGTTTGGGACATTTTTTTAATCTTGTTAATTTTTGAGCGAATATTTGGAGGTATCTACATTTGCTGTCTTTTGCACTTACATTTTAGCCAGCGTCCCTTTCATTTTTGAAACGTCTCTTTTGGTACACATCATTTTGGAAACTTCTTTTGTGCGATCAGATGCTTCATTCTGTCAGGTGGGGCGTCACAAAATAAAAGATCGGGGCTAAATCAGATATTTATTTTTGACGATTCCTCATTCTATATTTTTTCATATTTCATCCTCTCATAAAATAAACATTTTTTCTTCATATATATATATATATACCAACGGCTTGCCATACTTCATACTTCGCCAATTCACTTTCAAGTGCGTCTTATATGCACGTGTTTATCGTTGCTTAGAAATCATCTATGTAAACAATGACAAACTATCATCACTGTCTTGTCCGTATATTGCTTAATATGTTGTAATTGACATCTTTGATAATGGCTTAAGTAAGCCGAAAGCTTAGATTGTATTAAAAAATATGGATCAATATTGTGAATTTCTTTCTTCGTTCAATGATAATGTTATTAAATTTATCAGACGTTATGAAAAGAATTTACATAAAATAAATAGACAACACTTGTATATATTATTTAATGAAACGTGTATGAATATATATATATATACATATATGTACTTATTTTCTTGAATTAGACTTACAAGCAGGGCTAATGCAAGAGTCTGCCTCCCTGCCCCGAATTTATGATACGAGACACCCCACTTTACTACATCACAGTGTTCATAAGGTAGTAGTTATATAAAATACACATTTTGTAATCTAATTATGTACAATAATTGGTTTGGTTTGGTTTGCTTTGGTTTGTTTTACGGCATATCAACCTCAATGGGTTATTTAATGCCGACAAGTTTTTTTTTTCATTTCTTGTAATATTTTTTTTTCAAAAATGTACTGCTAGTAATTATTTTTTTAAGTGTATAGCTGGTATTTTTTTTCTTCAAAAATTCATTGCTGGTAATTTTTTCCAAAAATTTATTGCAGGTATTAAAACCTATTTTTACACTTTCATGGTTGTTTTGACTCCAGATTGGGGTTTAACTATTTGCGCTTAGTGCTCCCCGGTTCAGGGTGGACCTGGAAAGACCAGCAATTAAGAGGTACTTCCATGCTCCTCAAAACCTGATCAGAGGCCTTGCTGTTGGATGTAGTTTATCGTTTTACTCAGGATGCGGAAAAAGTCTTATCGTCATACCCAGGACGCACAATAATGGGTCATATGTAATATACGTGAACAATTCAACTCGAAAAATGGAAAATAAATATATCTCAATACAAATTAGAGACATGTCTTAACAGATAATATTAATATTATGATAGAATCTCTATCTATAAAAGGCGGGATGTGTGTGTGTGTGTGCGTGTGTGTGTGTGTAACGAATGCACGGCCTCAATTTTCGACGGATTTGCACCAAAATTTACATGCACATGCTCCAAGTTAGCGGCAAGGCCAAGACCGACTTTGCATTTCTAAACTCCCATCGATAGTGAAAATAATCGATTTTTTCATGCTTCTACAGCAGTTTTCATGTAGTTTGCAGCCATTTTCTACTGGCCAGAGTGAGAGCCTATAGCTGGCTGCCACGAATAGGCAGGAAAATTCTGTTGGCCAGCGTGAGAGCCAACAGCTGACTGACACGAATGTTAACTAGCATGCAAAAAAAATCGATAGCTGCATTCGTCACAAGTGGGAAAAATTTAAATCTGCATGACACTTTACTCCAATTTGCTCATTCGCTTGCTTAAACTCAACGTTGATTCTGATTCCGCAGAACTGGGTTGGATGTGAAAAAGTATTTGTTGTTAACATTCTTTTTTCATTCTATTTTTCCAGTTACGAGTCCTTTTTTAAAGCTGATCGTTTTGTGTTCATTTTGTTTAGTTCTTTTTTCATAACAGATTTAATGTTTAGTATAGAGCTTAGAAAAAATTCGCAGTGTGAGATAGGCAAGAAGTAAGGCATGTAGCAACATCAGCACAGCAAAGGGCACTCCTTTAAAGGCAAGGAAGGGCAAAAATATTTTAAGTCAAGTGATAGCGATTGCTGTATGAGTCGTACGATTTTTGAATCAAGCACGTGCAACGCCGGGTCATGCTGCTAGTAATAAATAAGAATAAATATAATAATAGAATAAATTAGAGACATGTCTTTCATCATACTTATTATAAAACCCAGGTTGTGTGTGTGTGTGTGTGTGTGTGTGTGTGTGTGTGTGCGCGCGTTTATATATTGGATCGGATTTCCTACATTTTTCAACTGATTTCAACAAAACTTCACAGGACTACGTAAAATTACCTTGCGGTTGTTCTGACAGTGCCAATAATTGAAAAAACACAATTGTTTTTGCACGAAATCAATTTGAAAACACGATTAAGAGGCATCGCCAGAATGAAAGAGGGACAACTCATATCGAGTTATACTTATTATAAAACCCAAGTTGTCTATGTGTGTGTGTGTTCGTTTATATATGGGATCGGATTTCCTACATTTTTCAACTGATTTCAACAAAACTTCACTTTTTTTTGGCAGGTAGTGTTTCTTATTGTCTTGCACACTTTTTTCTTTATTTTTACATTCAGAATGCTTTAAAAATTCCATTTACAAGACAATTGTTTATAATAAAATTCTATTCAATCGGTAGACTCATAACGATTGAAAACAATGTTTTTGTTTGAGTTTGGGTTTGACCAATTCGTAAAAAAAAGCCAAAAACCAAAAAAAAAAAAAAAAAAATATAAGACATGCGTGTCCGTCAAACTTAAACAATAATCTCATACTAATAATATGAGTGAGAAAAGAGAATATTTTGCAAGGCTCCAGTCCGGGAAGAAATTAAATCCAATTGGTACTTATTTTTAAACCCGACGAGTGAAATTCA